TCATCTTCTCTTTTGGTTTTGGGTTTGTTTTGGTTGGGGTTTTTTTCTATATAATTAATGGCTGCCAAATAATATCTTACTATAACAGGTTGAACTTTCCTTTAGTACCATCAAACATAAAAATTAAACAGATGCTGTCAATTGCCTCTGAATGTCAGAACAGAAACAATCCCAAGACAACTATAAGAAGGGACATGATGTGCCAGATATGATGGACATGATATCCAGTCCATACATGGGCTGGATCTGACAGAGATCAAACATGCTGCTATCGTGTAACCAGGCAAAACCACTGATGAGCCTTTGCAGTCAACAAGCAGGCTTTCTCTAGCTGTAGGAATAACCATTTGGGAGACTAGGCCATGACTTCATCATCCAAGTCCCCTCTCTCCTACATGGGAGTACTAGCTAGCTTCAGGATACTGGTCTTCATCTTCCAAGATGATAATAATTTTAGATACTTTCATACAGGACCTTAATAAAGTGCTATTGCCCACATCATTTACTTCTGACAGCAGACCTGCAATTATGAAGTAGTAATATTGTAGTAAATGAGATACATAGAGATTTGCTTTGGCCACCAGTCTTTGGAGGAATGATGAGCAAATCAGTGCACAAGATGGACTCAAGCATTGCAATTACCCAAAGATCTATTGTCTAACTCCTTTGAAAGAATCTGGCATGTCATTTGGTTTGCGTCTGTTCTCCCTGCCTCTCTGTGGCCAAGGTATAAAACCTCTGAATGCAAAAACGTATGCTTGGAAAAATTATTGCAAACCAAATCCGCTTCAGAGTCAAATGTCACCACACAACAGAAAGAACATTGAGACACTTAAATTTCTTATTATTCTAGCAACATTGAGAAAGGGGCTTCTGCAGTCAGACTGTCCATTCAGCTACGTGCCACCCAAGTAACACTGGAATAGAGCAGCTCATTTCAAACAAACATAGTGAGGGGCCAGAAATTCTTAAATAATAAACTTCTTTGGTTTCATGGAAGTCAGCAACTGATTTATACATCATATGCCCATTTGAGTCCAAAGAGGAGGAGCCTCTATATAGCTCTGACTAGGAAAAGTTTGGAAGGTGAGAAGGAAGCTGGGTTAAAGAGTGAGGAGAAGAGAGACTGGAATTATGGTAAAACTAGAGGCAATGGAGTGTATAGAAAAGACCTAAGAATAATAATTGATGGAGTATAGGTGAGGTGGGAGAATGAGCCATCAAAGTGAAAAAGACAGAGAGCTTCAGAGAGAGATTACTGTGATGTAAAGGGAAGGAGACACACTTCCACAGTAGAATAAGCTTCACTTGTTCAGCTATTTGTGGAATAACATCACATTTATGGTGGTTTGGAGAGGAGATGGAACATTTGGTCCAAGTTTGGAATGGATGTGTGAATGAGGAACAAAGGACTTTACAGTCCAGAGAGGGAATATCCTCAGAGCATCCTCAGAAATTTTATAACAGACATCTTTCAAAGAGAAAAGTGGAGAAAACCGTCTCCTTGGCTCCCACTGTCCAAAGATATATTCTCCTACTTTCCATTTAGCTCATCAGTTTTGCAGAAATAACATAAAACTAAATCAGGCCCTTATATTTGTCATTTCCAGCTCCTTCTATTCAGAATGCAACTGTAAGAGGAACACACTGCAATTAAAGTTAACATCTTTTAAATAGTTCATTTCTTTTTTATAGGTCTAATATGCACTAATTGTCAGAACAACTAATTCGAAAACATGTAATGCCAAAGGAAAACGTTCAATACCTTTCTGTACAATACCTGCGTATTTTCTCACTCCAGGGTGTAAAACCATTTGTCCTTGATTCACACTGATTTAATGCTAGAAGCATCTTATTCCCTATTATGGGACTTGGACAAATAAAAGCAATACATTGTAAAAACAAGTAGTGAAGCTACTGCCAAAAGTCATCACAAAAAGATGATTTTATAGTATTCTGTCCTGTCTGTGTTGCCTCTCCTGGATCTCAAGTCTCCTTAGGGTCTGAATTTAATCTGCAGTGCACCTGTAAAACACAACCAATAACAACTATTTTCATTTTATATATACAAAGACACTCCTCTCACAAGGGTTATAGCCTCACTGAATTCAATAATATACTCGTAGAATCATAGAATATCCTGAGTTGGAAGGATCATCAAGTCCAGCTTCTGGCCCTGCACAGGACAACTCCAAAAACAACTCACTAAGCCAGTTACTTGACTTAAAGTACACAATAATCCCCAAAATTCATGGTTTAAGGTCCTACTGAACTGAAGGCTCAGCACCTTTCCTCTGCCCTCACAGCAAAATGTGTACTGTGCCATGCCAGAAATGGACTATATATCCACTTGCCTGGTCACATGTAGATCCTTGGAGATAACTTAACCTTTGGTTCAGCAGAGAAATAGAAAATAAACAACAAAACACCAACTCCCAACATCCCCTCCTCCTCCCCCCCAAAAAAGACAACAACAACTGAAAAAAGCCAAAACTCAACTGTGCTTAAATTTAAATTTGCTGGGTTGTTTTCCTTTCCTCCAAGGTCTGTCCCCTTGCCACCCCCCCCTCCCCACCAAAAAAAAAAAATCCATTGGAAGATCGAGTCTTGAAGGAATGTTAACTGTAACCACCCACCACTCCAGTGAGTGGCCTGAGCAGCTGCCTGGAGAGTCCTGTCAGGTGGGAATTTTTAATCCTGCTTCTTTTGAGACTGTTCCACTTTGTATAAAATATCTTCAGACTTATTTCAATCCTTGTTTAACACTATGGACAAAGCACCTTTGACCCTCCAGCCTGCCTGATCAGGTAATCATTTACAGCTGGATCATCTTAAAACTGGTCAAAGTGAGACATGAGTTGTTGCTGAGCACAGAAGATGCCTGAAAAACTGTTGTCATGTCCTTCCTCACAACTCCCATTTCCTGCTCTACAAAGTGATTGTTGTTGGCCACAGAAAATCAAGCAGATTATTTTAAGTATATGGAAACAAACAAAAGTTTGACAAACCCTTTTGTAAATCTGACTAAACAGCCCACAATTCAACTTTTAGCCGAAGCAATTTGAAATGATCACAAAAATGTAGACCTTTCTTTCTTTCTCTCTCTTTCTTTTTCTTTCTTTCTTTTTCTTTCTTTCTTTTTCTTTCTTTCTTTTCCTTCGTTCCTTCCTTCCTTTTCTTTTTCGAATATCCTTACAAGTATGTGATTTGAATTCTGCCATTAGAAATGCATTTCAGAGCACAACTGTACTGTTCATTAAGTGAATATCACCAGCTTTCAGCCATTTCACAGTCTTTTTTCCCAACCTGTAGTCATTTTTGTTGGCAGAGATACCTTTGCAGAATTTGATATGTAATAAAAGTTAAAATAAGGATATTTTTCAGTTTCCACTTGAGTGTGTCAGGAAACTGAGACTGAAAGATTTATAGTTTTGGGTACAAAACCTAGTTAAGAATTAAGCAAGGCAGTGCTTTTTTCTGTAGAAAAAACCCCTAGTGTTACAGTCAATAGGATTTTTTCCTGTCTACTTCTATGAGAAGAAGATGATCAGATTTCAAGATGTAAATGGAAAGGGGGAAAACTCAGTGATCCCACTAACTTACTGCTTTTAATGAGAAGGGAGGCACCTCACAAAGTCATAGCAATTTATTTGCCTTGATTAAGGAAGGTACAGTAACCTGTCAGGCATCACCACAACTACATCATTTGCACTCCTTCTCCAAATTATCTCATGCAACAACTGAAAGAGCTGCTGAGAGTGGTGACCCTGGAATATAATTTGTGCTTCTTAAACAGAAAGACCACTACAGGTAAACACCCTCTTTTCCTCTAGCTAATTTGAATCATTAAAAAAAAGGTATCTGTAGAGTTGGCCTCAACTGCTCTACAGAAACACTGGAATACTTCTGAATTAAATTGATAGTTCTTCAATCTAGGACAGTCACTGCAGCACGCACCTGAGTATCTCAAGGAAATAGCCTTAAATGAGGATTTTCCAAACAAAACGCAAATCTTATACTCTCCTATGTTTTTTCTGAGTAATTGTATTTCACATGAGAAAGCAAACAAGTGGGAGTTTAGGGCAAGTTGTATTAGTAGGTTTTCTTTCTCAACTTCTTAACACAGGACATCCTTTTTTTGTATTTACACATGCTCAGAGTACTATTGGTTACATTGCTAAAGTTTTTCCTTTCCAAGCAGACAACACACTTTATTTTTTGACCCTTTTCTACCCTCCTGTCTTCAGCTGCAGTGCTATAGTATGACACTGGCTTTGCTTCTCAAAAGAGAGAGAGGAAAGTATTTTTCTCTAGAATAATAGCTCCCCTTTTGGCAACAAACAAAGGAGAGAAAAAATACGTCCAGAGAAACTGAACTCTTTAAAAGTGCTTTTTTTGCTGTTTGATGACACAGGCACAAAGCCAAAATTCACCCATTGTACTTCATGTTCAAAATTTCTTCACACAGCTCTAAATTGCTGACAGCTCTTTAGCTACAGCCATGCTACCGGGCGCCATTATAATAGCTCGCCATACCATTATGATGTGTCAGTGTTTATGACCTGTATCCCAAAACTGGACGACACTCAAATCTATTGACTGCCTCTAAATCACTTTCTTGGAAAAGATTTAAAGTTCAGAGATTGCAACTAGAATTGCTATTGCTCTAGTGGCCCCGTCTAATCTTTTTTTCATTGAAAACACAGAAAGGTTACGGAATTGTAAAGCCCATGTGGAACAAAACACAGGAAAATACTTATTGTTCTCATATAGAGGAACACATATAATACCCACAGTTGTATGAAGGCCCAGAGGGCTTTTTTATTGGTGCATGGATGAATTTTTTATTGCTACTGAATAAAGTGTTCTTGACATAAGTATTTGACCTCTAACACTAGCAAGATTTCCTCTTGGTGGCCATTAGAATATAAATCCTACTTCATAGAATCATAGAATCATAGAATACGCAGAGTTGGAAGGGACCCATCAGTATCATAGAGTCCAACTCCTGGCCCTTCACAGGACACCCTAAGAATCATACCATGTACCTGAGACTGTCATCCAAACACTTCCAGAACTGAGTGAATTGAGGTGATTTCACTTACCTTAGCCTTGAAAAGCTTGCTGGGCAGAACAACCTTCTTTACAATCGGTGAGAAAAATGGCCAAAAGTGGGACAGCAGGAAAAGCAAAGTGAAGGGTTGCTGACTCCTTAGGGCCTGTAGGTCTTCAGTTAGCTTGCCTGGGTAATGTCTGTTCCTAAAATCAGGTAACCAGGAGAATAATATGCTTAGTCCTGGGTGATTACCTTTCCTTCATCAGCCCAAGCCTACCTATTTGCATAGAGCTAAACGCAACTACTGCTCTGAAGAAAGGATCAAATTGCTTTTATATCTAGTGTGAATGTTCTCTAAGGATTTCAGCAGTCACGTTAAGCTTCAGTTGACTGACGAATATGAAAGTTAACCTCTTTGTTAACCTACAGAAAGCCTTTATTGATTTCATTTCTTCATATTTTTTTGTGAACTTGGTATCCCTGTTCAGCTCATACTGGCTTCTGAGGACTTTTAATTAAGTCACATAATTCATTGGATTAAAAGGTATTTGTTCCAGTTTTGCTCCACAGTTTTCAGGAGAATTACCTATAGATACTGACTTAGAAGAAAATCGTCTTCTGATATTTTTCTGAGTCCTTCTTGTGTCTTCTCCACCACACCTCTAGTTCTCTAACACTTTCCATTTCTTAGATCTGATCACATCTAAAACATCCCTCATCTTCCCTCTACCTTCCCAGAGATGTTTTGTGATCCTGTGACCAACAAGATAGAAAGCCAGGAAAAACACAACATTATTGGCAAAAAAGCTCTATCAGAACTTCTGTCCAAGCAGTTCTAATAAGTTCTGTGTCTTTGGTTCCATTTTTCAATTATAACAGTTGTTAAGTCACACCCTTCTGAGTTATTTCAGTAATAAATCACTTTGTCCATCTGGAAAGTTCCCACTCTGTTCTGGCAAGCACTTCCAGCGGCTGTCAGGAGCCCGCACCCTGTTTATGAGATAGTCCCGCTGGACAGCAGAAAACACACACAGAGCATTGATCCACCATTGTGACACTTCCTGTACAAAATTCACACTGATTTCAGTGGCAAATTATACTAAAAGTCCGGTGGAAAAGCCAGGCAACAGGCAGAACACATACCTTTTTGCTGCTTTTCTGCTGAACAACGGCTGGGGTCACCTGCAGCATTTGCTTACAGGTAGCATCTAGCATTTCTTTAAGGAGGAAATTCCCTCACTCTCAGCCATGATAATTGTGCTCAACATATGTGAAACAGCTCAAGTTAACAGAGCTTTCACATGAATGTACCATGAGACCTCCAACTTCTCAAATAAATTTATTTAAAAGGTAATGAAAACTGGCTCCTGGTACCCTGCTCCTTCACCAGGATCTTTCCCTTCACCTTGGCTGTGTCAGGATGCAGAAGAAAGTGCTGACCTTCTATGTACCTACTCTGTAGGTGGAGAACCAAAGCCAGAATGATCTTACAGGGATCTGCTTCTCTTCCTCCACATGCTTCCTCTAGTAACTGGGACACTTTGGTAAGTCTTGTGTGTATCTTCAGAAACAGGAATGGGAAGAAAATCATGAAGCTATGCAACCTCAAAGATACTAAAGATACACAATAACTATCTATCATTTTCTATTGGGCAGAAAGTAGATACTGAGGTAAAAAAAAAAAAAAAAGAAGTTGAAAGAGTGGGCACCAGCTGGAAGAACTACAGAAACCCCTTTGACTCACATCAGCTACAACTAGCAAATACCTCATTGCTCACTGATAGACATGGCACTGCAGGCAGTACAAACAGATTTCTGTGGGGGCACAATGTATGACTCCCTTCAAAAAGATTTTAGATATAGTGAATCTAACTCTTCAAGCATGAAGGATAAAGCTAGCTTGTGCTGATGTAATTAAATATTGAATCTGAAATTAAAATATTTTCTTTATAAATATTGTATTTTTACTTAATCTACAAATATGAGACAAATGATTCTGAGGATGGGAAAATGCCATCTATTCCTACAACTAACATGGAAACACCAGAGAGATTGAGCAAGTTTGACCTGGTCCAAAAGAAACAGACATTTTTAGGGAGTTTCTAATCTTAGCGAAGAGCACTGAAGGCTTCTAAAACAGCTACAGAGACATATATGAAGAACAATATGATGTGTCATGGCTGGCTGGTGAGAACAAGACAGAAGAGGGCTTGCAATGGAGCGAGAGACGAAGATGGATTGATTTGAGTGATGTTTAAATTTGGTTTATTATGGGGCTGCGGTTGACAATGTTGCAAGCTTCTCACCTCCCAGAGAGATAGGCATGTGGGCCATTCTTTGATTTCATAAATCATCCAGGAACATACCCAGAGCATTGACCTTTTATGGGGAGGAAGCCCAGGGCATTCAGCATAATTTAACACCGGCATGTCGGACAATGTCCAGCACAGTTTAACACTCCTTAACCTCTGCCTCATTAGACATCTGTCCTGTCATTTATCTTTCTGTTTATTTTCCAAGTGATATATTATTGGTAATAACTAAGGAATGGGCACTAATGTTACTCTCCATGGAGCTGCCATTAGTCAGCTGGAAGTCAGGCCAGCATCACTCTGAAACTGGTACACAGAATAGCTTTTAAAGGATTTCAGATATTCTTTGCCAAGCAATTTCCTCCTGGCATGGGAGCTAGCAACCCTATTATATGATATTTTATTTATTTTTACTCTTTCCAGACCAGATTTTAGGAATTTTTAAAAGCAGCAAGTATTATTACTGTTGGTAATAAGACCTGAATAATTTTTTTTTGCAGCAGAAACTTCATCTTGTCTGTGACAACCATGGCTAAATAAGAAGCCAGCAGGGACATGGCAGGGTCTTCCATTCAAACCACATGTATATACATACTTGCACACCGAGAAAAATACATATACAAACACAAACACATATTCTCACACTCCTCCCTCCTTCCTAAGTCATTGCCATAATGGTAGACATCAAGGCTCCTTTCTAAATACAAGTATTTTAGCACATCTATAATTGACTGGATATTGGAGGTTTCATTTATGCTGCCTTTCTTTATCAAGCTGCAACTATTTTTCTAGTATTTGGTATATTAAGTTACATTCTGAAAGGGGAACAAAAAGCAAAGAAAGCATGGGGCCACAGTGAAGGGAAAATGAAGTATTACGAATTTTTTATGTGTTGTGTAACGTATGTGTTGTGATGTTGGATGGGAAGTAAATTCCAACAAAGATTCTTCTATGGTGCACATGGTATTAAGCATGAATTCAGATTTCAAGGAGATTATAAAGAAGGTACAAGTCCAAAAGGACCTGTAAATTAAAAAAAGAGGCATTCCAGATTTGTTTATACTGTGGGTATTTGTGAGTCAGCTCTATAACAGATATAACACCTTCAGAAAATATTGATCATGTTTTGTTTAGCTGAATATCAACATTTTGCTTTTAAATCCATCATCACATGAAAGATATTGAAATGTTCAGCAATAACAAACAATTTTCTATCAGCAGTATTATCATTGCGACACAGATTGAAGTAGTTAAGTAACTCACTGGCTGACCTGAAATGTCCTCTATTTAAACATACACGAAGAGACACCTTTAGAAAAGAAAAATCCTAAACAATATGAAATGTCCTGAGAAACTGCATGAGACAGGTATCCTTGAAATTTGGACTATGGTGCTGAGAAAGTGCAAAGTGATGGGAGGCAAGCCTGGTTGAGGCAGGCAAGCACAGCCAAGAAGGAATTCAATGGGTGGGAGGGAGTTCACCGAGGTACCAGAAGCTTTACTTTCCAGATGTACTTTATTTATAAAGCACTTAATCCTTTTCAAACTACCTACATCCCACACAGATTTGACATTGCTTTATTGCTTAATTAATACCATAATCTCAGGTCTTGTCTAACACCGTGGGTAGAGAAAAAAGCTACATCTCTGCACATGCAAATGCTGCCAGATCTAACAGGACACCGTGGAACTGATTTTCCTATCATAAACAAGACATCTACTCTTTCACTGCTTTGGTTCACGCTATGTAACTAGCCATTTAGCTGCACCTTTTTGAAAGTTGGGGTCCTATAACTGGAGTTTAAAACTTGAGGGCTACTGTCAGCTTCTTGACTCAAACTCTTCAGCTACTTCTTCAACAGCGACAAAACTGCATGTACCAGTGAGTCATAGGTTGCCTATGCATTACAGGATGCACTTATCAAAAAGGCAGAGTGATCAGAACAAATCCAGCAAAGCGTTCCTGGGAATATGAAAGTCACCAATATAACACCTTGTGAAACCTCAAATATTGTTGGCTGTTTGGGTCACCCACGTTGACAGAAAGGGAACTTGTACCAGAACAGGTGCAGAAATGATCCAAGCAACAGAGAGTTTATTTTACAAGAGGAAATTAAAATCCAGTGGCTTATTTAGCCAAGTAGATCCAAGCCTGAGAGGGGATACAGTCACTCTTTGTAAATACAGCTGGAGGATAAGCACCAGAAAAGGGAAAGTGATTTTTAAGCTTAAAGACAATGATTTGGCATAAGAACAAAGAGACATTAAGAAATTCAGGCTGGAAGTTAGGTATAGGTTTCCAGTTCTTAGAAAGGTGCATTTTTGGACCTGCCACCTTTTTGTAGCCTTGGGGTCAGAATTCTCCATTAGTTTGCAGTGGATTATGTAAGATTTTACACGACAGAGTCCAACAGGCCAAGCACACACTGTGCATCAGTGCCCTCTTCAGCTCTTCCCACCCTCTCCCAGACCACCAGGATTGTGAACCAGTCCAGACTCTACTTCCAACTCATGTTTCTGCCTTTTCTTCCTTTGGAAATCAGGGCATAAAAAGCACCAGGATGGAAATACTTCATAGGATGTCCATATTTCAACAGTGTCCCCGGATGGGCATCAGGAAGGACTCCCAGCTGTCTAGGTATGCGATTGAAAGATCTTGCAAAATTCTCAGTGAGAAGAAGCCTCCCAGAGTCCATTTCTGCCCAGCACACACTGTACTCATTGCCTAATCCTACTTAAGAGCAGCATTTAGGTGGTTGTGAGTTTCTCCTAATTAAGTGCCAAAAGTTTCAAGCTTTCTCCTCAGTGAGGAGAGACTCAACCTACCCTAAACTTGACGTAAATCTGATGGCGCTAGTCAAGCTACGCGAGTAAATATGGCTCAGTTTTTTTCCCCCATTAGTAATAAAATGTAAAGCTTTATTTGGAAAGTACATAATTAATAACATTGTCAACAAAATTCATAATTTCCCCAGCATTTCTCCATAATGAAAAGTAACAATGTTAGTACAAAGCAGGCCATAAAAAAAACGCTGTTAAGCTCTGTGTTTCTAGTTAATTTCTAAGGCTTGTAGTTTTTGCATATAATAGTAAAAAATGGATTATGAAGAATATTCTAAATCTATAAATGCATCTAATGAGTTGAAAAAGGAAATGTTAGGGTTTATAGTCTTCTGTTATTATTTAAAATCCTAGACAGGGTTACTATAACAGACACAAAATATATTATGTTTAGCAAGAAATTTAAAGATCAGAATTCCTGTAAACACTAGCGTAACATTTGGGCAAAATAAATTCAGTTTGCCTTTCTGTGTTAATGATATCCTGGGTAAATGCCTGCAGATCATTTTCTTTGGGAAACGTTAGTATGAAAAAATATGAGGTTTTGTTCGGGTTCTGTCAAGATAGAAATCTTGCTTGCTAGCCCTGGAACAAATCCCTGCCATACATAAGCACACGCTGCATGACACTGAACCTGAAGAAAATCTCCATCTGAACCTCCCTCCAGATTGTGGTGGCAAAGACTTGAAATCTGACTTGTACCTGTGTAGAGTAATCCACTGCACTGCAGAGAAAAGAAAAGAGGTCCCACTCACCTTGTAACAGCAGTATTTTTATCTCCCAGATAACTCATGCAGGAAGGGGTGGATGGGAGATTTGCTCTTTCTTCAGAAGATCAAAGACTTTGATCTCAATGTACTCTGTATTCTCAGCACATTGGGACATTATCAGCCAACAGGGACCCCCACAGAACAGGCACCCAGTGCTGGTCTGAGGGACACAGTGCTCTGGGGTATTTTGAAATGTAACACAGATGTCCATACCGCCACTCTGCAAAACATTGTGTTGTAACCTGTTCTGGAAAACATACAGAGGACAGGTCCCAAAAGCTACATTCTTTTGGCTTTAAAAGTGGACATTTAGTCTGAGGATGCAGAGATGGCTCCTCATGGAGTCAAGTGTCTGGCATGCCCAGATTGGCAAGGTTTATGACCACTGTCGGAGGAGGGGAACTGATCAGGAAGACTCCTTCAGTCGACTTCACCGAAGGGCTTTATGGCTTCCTCCAGCCCAGGACCACATCCCATGTGCCACTGTGAGACCCTTGGCATCAGAGTGTGACTTCTCAAAACAGGATAATGCTCAAAGCCAGATCTCAGTTGAAGGGTTTCAGCAGCTCCAAGGGTGTTTCACATGAGCCACCAATTTGTGTTTGATTCACACTCTAGAGAACAACCATATCAAGAATGTGTGAAAATGACCATGAAAGCACATTCATTGATCAAAAATGACAATATCTGAATAATTCCCAAGAAAAATTGCTATATCTTTATTTTTTACAAAAGTATTCTTTTTTTTTTTCCTGGTTCACACTGTTAACAATCCGTGCTATTTCAGCACAAATGACTGACTATGGACATTCTCCTGTTCACATGCTGAGACATCAGGTCTGAGATGGTTACATGTGGAGAATGTGTTTTAGGGATGCTGGACGATCTATCCTGGGAGATGTAGTCCCCAAAATATACTCTAATACACATGGGCAGTGGCAAGTCCCATGGCAGTTGGCTAAGCCAATCACGTGTTGTTCGAAGTGCATATAAAACGTGATGTTCACTTCCAGTTAACGGATTTGGTTGCTGGAACCCCAACCAACTGGGTCATGTGGTTTATTTATTATATTAATAAAGCCACAGTTACACCATGGTGTCACCTGGACCTGCTCCAAACCACATGGGAAAGGACAATTTAATAAGGCTGGATATCATCAGCTTTGCAAAGGACCCTATTGTTAAAGTCAGTAGGAAAGATCTTCCAGATGATACAGATCAGATGTATTATTTTCCTTTAAACTTGCCTCCAAAATTTGTTCACCACTTTGGGTTCAGCAGGAGTGATACGCCGTGCATAGCAACTTCTGTCTCTCATCCCGTCACACAAGGTCTTCTCTTTCAAAGATGATTTTTTAGTCCTAAGACTCTGGTGCAGAAGTGCTGAAGTTTTGTCGATGTTGCAAAGCAATGAATACAGAGGCTGTGAAATTTCCGGCATTCATAGCAAGTTTATTTAATCTTTGAGTGTTTTTCTGCCACCTTTTAGATTGATGACATTAAAATATCTTTGGATGCATTGGTTAAGTTGCTGAAGTTCCCTAAAACTTCTGTTGAAATTCAGCTTCATTTCAATAACAATGGTACAAAAATTTGGAAGGTACATACATTTCCAAGAAACACTATCAATTCCCAGTCTAATTTAGGTTCCCAGTTGCCCCAGTTACATTTTTTAAACTGAATCAAAACCTATTTCGATTTACGAAAGTTCTTTTTCCTGGTACCAGCATAGGAAGCAATATCATGTGATGCTGATGAGTTCTTTGCCTAAGGAGATTACCATTATCACTGTACACAACTTTCAGAAATTCATACTGTGAGTGGGTTTTCACTGTTTTGTGCAATACTGTCTGTTTCTTCACTTTATTTTTTCTATAAATTTCCCACCCATATTTAAATAAAATACATGAACAATTCCTAAACAAGGAGTTTTTGTACAATGGCATTTAGTGTTAAGATACTAAGGAAACAAGTCTAGACACATGCTAAGTATCATATCATTCCTCTTACCACCACCACCCATATACTATAGCTGGATAATTTCACTACGGCACCAGAAGGTCCTGCTTTTTGTTAACCAAAACAAAATCTTCTGTCACCTCCATAAAATCAGAAATACTGTTGCCTTTTCTCCTGTATAGGATATGGTACAGCTCTTTCTGAAATCTTCAGACTTGCTGACAGAGCAAAAAGTAGAGGAGCCAGATAAACCTCCTTCCCTCCCCCCAAAAAAGGCTATTGAGCATACCTAACAGCCCAGACCTTGCCAGTTTTTATTCCCTTTTAGAACAAATTCTAACAAATGTATATATTCTATATTTTTTAAAAATTCATATGGAAAAAGAAATCAACCCAAATGACACGTCCAAATAGCATTTAAGTTATACAAAAGAGTCTTCTTCATTTAGGTTACAAGATGGTGGTTTACAATGAGTAGGGTTATAAGGTGAAGATATTAAAGCACTGAATTAATAGTCAATGTCTGAGGGAGTTGATATTAATGTAGCCAAAAAAAGAAACTGTACTTTCAGTTGAGGTTTGGAATAAGTGGTGAAGCACTGAAGGAGAGATACAAGAAGGCTGTTTTGGATGGCAGGAGCTTAAGAGAATGTGATTGTCAAACCAGTGGTGTTTGGAAAGAACGAAGAAATCAAGATATAGTAAACCTAAAAGAGCAAGAGCAATGGCAGGAAGATAAAGACAGGAATGAATTTCTAAGAAAGAATGGCAGAAATTAGGGGAGGTCTTTCAAGATAGACCAGAATTATGTAATAATGTCATTAAGATATTAAAGAGTTTAGAAGAAGAAAACAGGTACAAAATCCAGATGTCCCTCTGTCAATACTTGATGTGCAGTAACAAAGGTCACAGACTCACTGCTTCCAATAAAGGTCACCGTTCCACACTATAAAGTCCAATTTCTGAAATATTGGATGAAAGATTATTTTTGGAAGCATAAAATGAGAAATCATTGGGTCTCTTTTGTATGCTGATTTACCAGCTTTTCCAAAGAGCAATATAAGAAGTGTTTATGACTTCCTATCAAATATGGCTTCATTTATGTGTCAGAAAGTTCATAGAAAGTGCAGGAAGTGAGCTCCTTTATTGCTTACACCAAGAGTGGAGGCTAGGAGCAAATTTGTCACCAATCATTATGGGGGGAAGGGAAGGTTTGGGAAGGTTTGGGAAGGTTTGGGAAGGTTTGGGAAGGAAAGAGGAAGGGAGGGGAGGA